GCCGCCATCGCTGGTACTGCTCTCTACGTTCTGTACCATCCTCGGCGTCCTGATTTCTCCATCCCTTTCCCTCCGCATTCACCGCTTAAATCTCACCACATCCGCTGACTCCTCTTCATCTCACCTCTCCTCTCTTTTCACCTCACACTCATCTCCAAAAATCCTAACTCGCATCTCTCCTTCTCTTATGATCCTTTTGTTATCTCCTGCTTCTCCAGCACCACCGGCGTTTTCCTCGGCAACGGTACTGTTCCGGCTTTCGTGAGTGCGCAGAAGAATCAGACGTCGTTTAGGGCGGTTGTTATCGCGTCGTCGGCTGGAGATCTGGACGCGGAGTCTGTGACTAATTTGAGATCAGATCTGAAGAGAAAATCTGGAGTGAGCTTGAAAATTCAGATGGATACCAGAGTGAAAGTCAAAATTGGTGGACTCAAGGCTAAGAAAGTTGGAATCCGAGTGAGCTGCGACGGCATTAAAGGCGCCGTACCTAAAGGTAAAACACCTGTGGTGGCTTCAACTGTTGACTCTAAGTGTAAGGTTGATCTGAGAGTCAAGATCTGGAAATGGACCTTTTGATCATCCTCATCGCCATTAATTTTTTCTGTCTTGAGTTTCTTCTTTTAGCCTTTCTTTTTTTTTTTTTTTTTGGGGTTTGTACGTAAAACTTTTCATCAACACATGGGATCCGAGAATTTAAGATTTATCAAAGTTAGAAATTTAGGGAAGGAAAGATCAATTACTACTATATATATATATATATATATATATTTTTTTTTTTTTTTTTTTTCTTCAAATCTTCCTTTTTTGATATAGTTTCTGCGATTCGAGGGAGTTTAATTTTGAAATGATTTCTTTTAATTACTGGATTCAACCAGTAATCAAAGTTTGGGAGTGGTTTTGATGATGTAAAATTGTAATGATAATTTGGTTTTTCCATGAATCCGAAATCTCCAGTTATTTCTGTAATGATATTCTACTCGGACAGCTTTTGCCATCATGTCCCAAAAAAAAAAAAAGAAATGATATTCTATAATGCAATTATGTTATTGATTAACCGTAACTCCTTATTAATTAATAAATTATATTGATTAGTACCACATTTATGTATATTCCCGTAAGTGAAAAAATAATAAATTATTCTTTTAACTAAGCTGATTGTTTAAGTAATTATTTTACCATATTATCTTCAAATTGACACACATTAAAATTATAAAATTAATTCACATTTACCAATTTACTTAATTAAAATTTAAATTAGTAAATCAAATTAAAAAAATACTAATGAGAATAAACTAATAACTAACAATTTTAATTTAATTAATTAACAAATGAATTTAAGTTTATAAATTATAAATTAGTCAACTTTTTAGACGTGTTCAATTGCATTAAATCATTAATCATTGATTATTTTGATTTAAGAGCCATGCACCCATGAAGAATCCATCATCATTAATCTTTTCGTTGTCATTGTTTTTGAATGTGGTATGAATAATTTGCTACGTTACATGTTACTATTATATTCATGGCAAAATTTTATGTTTATTAATTATTTATAAATTTTATTATATTTTGCATATCGATAATTTAATTAAACGTTAAAATTTAAAAATAAAATAAATAATTTTTCAAATTTGAAATAGTAATAAAATTTATAACTTCTACTTTTAATGATTATGTAACAAAATTTTCTTTAAAAAAAATTAAAAACATAAATTAAACAAAGAATTTAAATATGCTTTATATATATATATATTGATATGTGCACATAACATGTAAGGAATAAAGAGAATCAATTTTGGCCACAGGCAAGATACCACTACCTGACAAGCATTCATATTAGTATATAGTATATGTTTGACTGTAACTTCTAACTGCAGCTTTTGCAGTGCTAGAAGTACATACTTCCTAAACTAAAAACTGTTCATGCTTTTAACATTTTCTTTCCTCAAGTAAATATATATATATATATGTGTGTAATATATAAGGCAAGTACTTTAAGGGGAAGGAAATGTTTTTGGAGGATGAAGGAACGAGTCAAAAGCACCAAGTTGATTGTGAAGATGAGAAGAGAACATGATTCTAGTATTTTATCAGTCGATTGCATATAAATTAAAAGCTAAAAGAGTGACAGAACATAAAATCAAGAAAAAGTTAAACTAGAAGTTGATGGAGTAAGCTAGTCAATATGACAAGAGAAGAAGACAACCAATAAGGTTAGAATCATGAGCATATATATAAGCAAACAAATGCAGGATTGTCCAAATTAGAAAAAGACTTGCAGAGAGCCAAAACTATAAGCCTATACTGGGCAAAAAGAAAGAAAAGAATTGATGTCAGAAATCCTCTAGGTCGTAGCACTTTTATCTCTTTGCAGGAAAGATGAATTAGATTATTTTCAAATATGAACAACTGCCCTTGTTTTTGCTTTAATTAGGGTCAGTTAGCACATACTGTAAAAGCCTGCAAGCTTCGGCAGGAGGACGATGAAGGGAAGCACTCAGAGAGCTATGGATACACATCTGAATTGAGGGTCTCTCCAGATGGCTCCACTAAACAGGAAATGACTGATGTAGTTGAAGTATCAGAGGTGACGAAGGCGATAATGGTGGAGGTTACTGGATCAGGGCAAGAAATGGTTAATACAATAATTACGGGCAATAATGAGGAGATTAAAATAGAGGAGGATGTCCAAGCAACTTTAATGGGTGGAGTAGCAATTACCATGCAACCTGCCTGGCAGCCATGAGAGTAATTAGCTATAGTTGTCGTGGCATGGGGGGATCCTGGTAATTAGTTGACTTCGAAGACATATGCACCCGAAAAAGACGTCAGAACCTGATGATATATCTCCTTTATTTTTTTCAAAATTCTGGCATACGCTTAGTATCGATATTACTTACTTTATGCTTAATGCTTTGAATAATCATGAGGACTCATCTAGTATTAACCGTATAATGTCATTATGAAACTTGTGATTAAGCGTATCTCAAATCACTTAAAAGTTCTCTTGGACAAAATTGTTCATCTATCAGAATCTGCTTTTATACATAACTGTAAAAAAAAACTGATAATACCCTGATTGCTTTTGAGATTTTTCATTTCTCGCAAAAGAGGTGCAACCCCAGTCGTGGGTCATTTGCTTTGGAATTGAATCTGAGTAAGAAGTATGATAGAATAGCATGCCCTTTCTTGGAAAACATGCTTTTTAAGTTGAGTTTTGACACCAATTTTGTCTCACTTATATGATCTGCATATTCATATATCTCTTATTTCATACTAGTAAATGGGAAACATTACGAGATTATTTATCCCAAAAGAGTCTCTGGCAAGGAGACCCTTTAGCACCTTACTTATTCATTTTGTGTGCAGAGGCAAATCCTCTATGTTGCGAGAGGCAGAACAAGAAGAAAAGATTAAGGGAGTTAAGATTACACGTTTAGCTCCTACAGTTTCATATTTACTCTTTTGCAGATGACAGGATAATTTTTGGGAGGCTAAGGATGAGGAGTTACACAAGCTATCCAGCATATTTTGACTACCTATGTAAGGGCTTTAAGAACAAGTAATTAACTTATAAAAGTCCTGTATGGACTCTTGTTCCCTCTCATGTTATCTGGTTGTATTATGGGGCATTTGACGGAAGCAGAACCAGTGGCTTCCCCAAAATACATGGGTTTTACTTTTTCAACTTGGTGCCGAAATTACAAGACAAAAAGACAGAGTTAGCGAATGCAGGATAACCCACTGCTGGCAGATCTTAACATACCTATTATTACTTCTGCTGCTGGGAGGTGGTGCCCATCACCTGAAGATATGGTTAAAATTAATTGTGAATGCTTCCATGGATGAGAATTGTTGGACAGGATTGGGTGCCATACATCAACTTTCTGATAGTTCAGTGTTATTTATAGGGATGAGGGGATTGCCCACTCCTCCTTCCATTGAGATTGCAGAAGAACTAGCAGAGTACCATATGGCCTACAATTAATGTGAAGGTGGGTTCTACAGGCAATTCAGGTTGAAGGAGATCCACAAAAGACTATTTGCACAACTTTAAGTCAGCAATGGTTATGAATTCTGGAATTAGGTCTAGTGATTGAAGATGTTACTAATCTAGGTCGACTTGTTCAATTTCATTTCTTTTGCTTGGATTTTCTAGAAATATTAAACTTACATTGACTATTCTTTAGTAAAGTAGATGGTTCGCTCCTGATCCTTTTGTTCCTTTTTTACTTCAGGATTTCTATGGTCCTCTTTAGTGTTGAATGTTAACACCTACAATTAACTTTGAACAATTTTTTCCTCAAAAAGGGTGTATTAGTAATTCCACTAGTCTTTGATCAACCAAAAGCAGCAGCTTAACTGCACTTTTTTGCTATACTTTTTTAGTTTCTGTTTCTCTCATTTCAAGATGAAATCTGAATATAATATTTGTTTTTATTATAGAATCGATTACTCTGAATTGAGTCATAATCAAAATGCAGACACAGCCACATCAATAAAATTCAGCAAAAAGAAAACAAAAAATCATTGAGGGAAAGAAAAATGGAATTTCATAGCCAAGAATAAGAATGAGGCAAATTATTATAAGAGATTTACAGCTTGCCTCAAAAGTTAAAAAAAAAAAAAAAAAAAAATTCTAAAATCTCAACACCCTATCTTCACTTGTATGAGGCAGAAAATTGGGGAAAATAAAAGCAAGATGGTTGGCTTAAACAAAAATAAACTAGGGTCAACACTTTCTAATACACTTGAATGTAACTGCTATATTGATGCTGATGATGTCAATGCCATTTTAACTCTTCAACAGATATTCAACAATATCAGACTGATGATGGTACATAAATTGAATCTCACTGACACTGATCAGGCTACAGTCTAAAAACACAATTGCCTTTTGCGTCCGTATGAACATGAAGTTCACCTAAATAAACACCCAGCTGGAGGGTGAGACCTTACAGCCTTCAGGCTAAGATCCCACAGGAGCAATGCCTTTGGCTTGGGCAGCAGCCTTGGCAGCAGCAGCGGCAGCAGCAGCAGCAGCAGCAGCAGATGCAGCAGGATTTGGAGTTGATGGGGGAACTGGATTGGATTGCGAACCGCTCTGTGGTGCAATCATCTGCGGTTGTTGTTGCTGCTGCTGCTGCTGCTGCTGTTGCTGAGAGTTGACTTGCACAAGCAAAGCCTTGATTTGGTTCCCTGTGAGCGTCTCATGCTCAAGCAAAGCATTAGCAAGTGCGTGCAGCTCCTTGCTATGAGTGGTAAGGATGGTTTTCGCATTATTATATGCCCTCTCTAGGAAGTATCTCACTTCCTTCTCAATCAGAAGCCTAGTCTCAGTGCTCATGCTCCTCCCATTGTCATCATAGTTGTGTGTGACAAGCCCAACTTCTTTACTCATACCATATTTTGTAACCATTGCTCTTGCAAGATTAGTTGCTTGCTGAAGATCCGAGGACGCTCCAGAAGTAACGTCATTTTCACCAAAGATAAGCTCCTCAGCCACTCGGCCACCCATGCAAACATCAAGCCGAGCAAGCATCTGCTTACGGGAAATACTTGTTTCGTCCTTATCAGGTAATTGAGAAACCATACCAAGGGCCATCCCCCGGGGAACTATTGTCGCCTTGTGAACAGGAAGCGCTCCATCAGTATGGATAGCTACAAGTGCATGGCCACCCTCGTGGAAAGCTGTGAGCCTCCTTGACTCATCAGAGATGACAGCTGATTTTCGCTCACTTCCCATCATGATCTTGTCTTTTGCGTATTCTAGATCAGCCATTGTTACTGCTTTAGCACCATCCATTGCAGCCTTTAGAGCAGCAATGTTGACCAAGTTTGCTAAATCAGCACCTGAGAACCCAGGAGTCCCTCTAGCAATGATCATTAAATCAACATCATCAGCCTTCAGTACCTGTAATAGACAAGAACCAATGGTAGTAATTGTGCCTCCTCATATTATTTAATCAGCAGGTAAATAATAATGGTCTTATCAACAAGACTCTAAGGGTTAGTTGTTTACAACTAACAAAAGACCCAACTATAGCTAATTATTGACTGTACCAATCCAATAAGAACAGGCTTCTCAACGGACTCCAGTGAAAAAATCAACATCCATGGACAATAAGCCAAATCTAAAATAGATGTGCATGTCAGGTAAGGCCAGTCCAAAACCAATCATAGAAAATTGTGATGTATAATCTTAAAGGTAAAACCGATTGTAAAAATGAAAAGAAGAATGCATTTTATTACATACAGAAAATGTAGGAAGGGCATAAGAAGAGCATGTCCGTGAAATTACAATCAGCTATGTATCCATGCACGAACTTAATAGTAGATGCTCGAGCAGCCACACCTCAAAAGAACACTTTAACAAAAGTATCATCAAGAACTGGCACAACTACCCACTAACATTTGTCACCCAGAACATATATTTTGCAAGAAGAAAAATTTGCCATGGAATAAAGAATACCTTTGACATGTGGGATTCCATAATCTGACGCCGTCCCTCTACATCTGGATTAGGAACAACAATGTGGCGGTCAAACCTTCCAGGTCTAACCAGTGCCTTATCCAGTGATTCTGGGAAATTAGTTGCAGCAATCACAATTATCCCTTCATTCTGCTTAAATCCATCCAACTCCACAAGCAATTGATTTAATGTCATTTTCATATATTGCTGGTCCTTAGGGTTACGGCTTCCTCCTATGGCATCTATCTCATCAATAAATATAATACATGGGGATCTCTTCTTTGCAGCTGAAAAAAGATCCCTGACCCGCCTGGCACCAACCCCAACAAACATCTCTTCAAACTCACTCCCACTGCACGAGAAGAAAGGAACTCCAGCCTCCCCAGCAATAGCTCTTGCTAACATGGTTTTGCCGGTGCCAGGAGGACCAACAAGCAAAACACCTTTTGGGAGCTTGCCACCCAGACGAGTGAAACGCTGTAAACATGAAAACAAGAAATTAGAGGTATATATATATATATATATCAACTTCCATACAGTCGAGGAATAAACAGCTATGCACACAGTCTGCAACCTGTTTACTGCTGAAAACCTACTGCAAGTTCCCAGATCAATAAACCCAGCCTAGGTACAAAAAAATATAACCCATTCCTGATTTAAATTTGTAAATGAGATGATATTGCTCCTAGGTACATATCTAGCCACCAACAAAATTTCTGAAGGTTGAACAAGGATTTGAATTCCTACAGTCATTGTCAAAGAAGATGTTCAACTGTGTAGTGATAAAAGGTATAATGGTGAAGAGCAAGATAGCATCACTTATGAGATGAATTAGGTCATTTTGAATATGATATGATTGGACAAATAACTAGGAAAAAAAAGAAAACAACAAAAATGAAGGAATGGAGAATAAACAGGACATATATCAGTTCTATCTGAAAGCTCTTTTGATTTAGTACATCGGAACTAATTGACAAGCAGATTCCATCAACGAGAGGATAACTGTATAGTTTTACTCATAAACAATTGCAACATTTACAATATAGTATCACCTATGTTTTTGTAGGTGTTTAAGAATCCAACTGTCTAGAATACCAAATAGAAATAGGAAAACAACTAGATAGTCATACATAATAAGAAATAGAAACTTATTAACAATGTAATAACCCAACAATAAATATGTAAAAAGGAAAAAAAAAAAAAAGTATGCTAGATGGTCCCCCATCACTCCTCGCCACTTTAAAATCACTCAATTCCAGAGAGAACATCTCAAGAGACTCATCACACAATTTCGGATAACTAACTCAAAACTCCTTCAATTATCTATGAAATGCCAAAATCTGGACAAGCCTTCCATCTTAGAATGTGGATCCTGAGAAATACCCTGGTGTGGGTAAAGAAATTAACACCCTCATACTAGAAATAACTCTATTACCCCTCAATCTTCTCATGTGAATCTGTGTAGACACTGGAATCACCACTAACACACCAAAAAGGAGTGCATAAACCCAACGCATAAGATAACTCTACTCATAGAAAGACCTAGTGCTGGGATGTGTAGGACCATAAAAACAAGAGAACTATCAATAACCTTTCCCTTTAATGTCCCAAAAAACCAAGATATAGAAAGAACCTTCAATTGAACCAACAAAAGCACGCATCAACACTAGTCCTTTTAGTCTCCTAAAATAAGACAATGCATGAGACAATATCTGGACCAATCCTAGACAAGACCTCCTTAATCTCTTCCTCTCGATGACATTACCCAAGCCAATAACATTTATTCTTCTTTTTTTTTTGAGATAAAAGTGAGTAATTGTATTAAGATGACATTAAGGGGGCGTGACCCATGTACAAAAATATAGAATTTACAGATCTGTGAGAATATCTACAATAGATCTTAAATCATCAAAAAGATCAAGGTTGTGAACAAGTACAGTAGAACCAAAAAAATGGAGCCATCTATCCTTGATGATGGCAAAGTTTGATACTTTACCCTCAAAAATCCTACAATTTCTTTCTTTCCAAATAATCCATAAAATTGTTAGAGGAATTAATCTATGCCACTTATTGTTCATTTTGAGGTCTTCCCAAGCTAAGATTTCATCCTTAACAGACCCAGCAATTACCCAAGAGATACCAAGCAGCTTACGAATGGATGACCAAAGGTCATAGGAGACCGGACACCAAAGAAGTAAGTGGTTGTAAGATTCCAGATTCGGCCTGCATAAAACATACCAGTTGGCCAGGTCAAGGTCCCTTCTCATGAGGTTGTCCACAGTGCAAATGCATCTCTAAGTAGCTTCCCAAGCAAAGAATGAAATTTTTGGAGGAGTAAGTGGTTTCCAAATGATTTTATGAGGGAAGACAGGAGTTGGATTCGTTCTGTCTATCAGAGTACCTGTACAGGGATTTAGCGGAAAACGCCCATTTTTACTTAGGGTCCAGCTTAATTTGTCATCAGCAGTACTGAGTTTGGTGTTGGCCAGTAGTTGAATCAACTTTTCATACTCAAACACCTCTCAGTCATTCAAATTTCTGATGACTAAAACATCCCACACCAAGGGTAAGCTAACCCCGTAAGCATTCTCCACAAGCATGGTCTTATCCTTGGCAATAGCGAAAATGAGAGGGAAACAGCTTTGAAAGTTCTTAGTGCCACACCAAACATCCTGCCAAAACCGAAGCTTATCACCTCTACTGACCACCCCTTTAGAGCCATTTAACACAGGCTGGGAGGATTGCATAATGCTCTTCCAAAGGCTGAGCCCAAACAGACTGTTATCCAGTCTCGTTCTTTTGCAAACAATGATTTTTTTCCAAAGACTATTGGTGTCATTCCAAAATCTCCATATCCACTTTTCATGTAATGCTTTGATCGACTTCTTGATCTCATTCCAATTAACCAAGCAGAAGTTTCTGTTAGAGTCATCATTCCCCAAAGGAACCGAAATTGGATGGATTCTAACTTCTTGGCAACTTTCTTAGGAATGGTGAGGACCGAAATGTAGTAGATGGGGGATTAGATAAAGTGCTTTTGATTAGAGTTAGCCGCCCCCCTTAGATAAGTATTTTCTTTTCCAACATGCAAGCCAATGCTGAAAGATGTCGATGATTGGTTCCCAACTACTGCTGTCTTTGTGCATAGCACCAAGGGGAATGCCTAAATGTTTGATGGGCAGTTGAGCGGTCTTACATCCAAGAACACCAGCAAGTGAATCCGAAGAGTTATTATCAAGCATGATAAGTTCAGACTTCTTCAAATTGATTTTTAATCCGGATGCAGCCTGAAAACACAGGACGATGCATCTGAGGTGGAGAAGATTACTGATGCTAAGTTGACAGAAGAAAAGGATATCATCAGCAAAGAATAGGTGAGAAAACTTCATTGGGTGACCATTCATACCCACAGGAATTCCTTCCAATAGGCCCAATGACCGGGCCTACGAAACAAGTTTGTTGAGGGCTTCCATAATAATGATGAGCAATAAAGGTGAGAGGGGATCACATTGCCTTAAACCCCTAGAGGCATTAAAGAATTTGGGAGGACCACCATTTATTATAACAGCAAAACTTGTAGAAGAGATGCATTCCCTAATCCAGCTTCTCCATCTGCAGCCAAAGCCTAGATTCACCAGCATGTGGTCGATACATGATCAAAGGCCTTCTCCATGTCCAGTTTGCATAAAACACTGTTTCTTTTGTTCCTTATAACATCATCAACAACCTCATTGCCATAAGAATTGCATCTGTTATTTGTCTCCCATAAACAAAGGCTTGTTGGTTTTCCCCTATAATTGAGCCAACAACTTTAGACAATCTATTTGCCACAACTTTAGAGAGGAGTTTGTAAACACAGCCAATTAAACTGATCAGTCAGAATTTTTTTATATTTGATGCATTCTTCTTCTTCAGTATCAAAATAATGAAAGCAGATTTTAGAGATTTGACAAACTAAGAATTCTTGTGAAAGTCTGTGAAGAAGTCCATAATGTCGTCTCTAACTGTACCCCAGAATTTCAGCAAGCCATCAGTCCCAGGTGCTTTATCACTATCACTCTCCCGCAGGCAGTCAAATACCTCCTTCCCCGTGAAGACTGCTTCAAGCTGGGCGTTAGCAAAATTGTTGAGTTTATCAAACTGAAGGTTAGAAAGTTTTGGCCTCCAACAAAATTCTTCTGTAAACAGATTCTGGAAATGAGAACAAGCACCTTCTCTCATTTCATTATTACCTTCAATCCCAAGATCCTCAATAAAGAGCTCTTCCACATAATTAACATTTCTGCGATAATTAACAAGGCAATGGAAGTATTTAGTACTTTTATACCCCTCTTTTAACCCCATTTCTCCCTAACTTTTTGCTTCCAAGAGATAGCTTCCAGATTGAGTTTTAGAGAATTTTTCCTATCCCTGTCTTCAATAGACAGACCAAAATCTCCCTCAATCTCATCCAGATGATCAAGTTCTGTCGATAGCCCATTAGTGTAGATTTCCTCTTCCCTAACAGCAGTCTTAGCCCAGGATTTAATTTGCTCTTTCAAGTTTTTGAGCTTCATTGCAATTCTGTAACTGAGAGAACCCCTGCACACTGAGTTCTTCGAAACAGATTCCACCAAGGTTTTAAAACTATCCAGTTTGAGCCATTTATTGTCGATTCTAAAGGAGGAGGAGCCCCATTTAATACCACCAAGATCTAGACAAACAGGGAAATGATCAAAGATGGGTCTAGAGAGTACCTTTTGAGAGAGGCCAGGATAGTCCAGCATTAGCTCGTTGCTGATTAAGAATCTGTCTATTCTTGAATATGACTCTCTGTAATTACTCCAAGTTCAGTTACCACCCTTCAAGGAAAGATCCACCAATCCAAGATTGTCAATATGAGACTGGAAGACATTGGAAATAGAGGCAGAGTATAGATTATTGGATCTCTCCCCACATCTGAGAACCATATTGAAATCCCCACCTACCACCCCCTTCTTACCCCATTTAGACAACCAAGTAGAAGTTTCTTCCCAGAGGCAGGCCCGCTCAGAGTCATTGCCTCTGCAGTAGATGCCAGTGAAGGACCACTCTCAGCCATTGTGATTGTTAATGAAGAGGCAGGAAGCAGTGACATCCCCAGGCAAGCACTCTATGCATTCCACAACGTATTTGTTCCACATGATTAAAATACTCCCAGAAGTGCCCCTGGCAAGGGAGAAGGTCCACCCAACAGAACTAAAATACCACAAGCTGCCTATGAGTTTCTCGCTGATGTCCTGAAGCTTGATTTCTTGGAAGCACACAATGACCAGCTTCCATCTAGACAGAACCTCCGATAATGTTTCTTTTCTTTGGATCATTTAGTCCACTGACATTCCATGAGATGATTTTTTCTAGCACTAAGACATTACTGAATCATCCTCCTCGCCTCTGCCCTTCCTGTTCTTACTGTCATAGTTGACTGAAAACTGGAGTCTCTTCAGTTCCCTAACCCCCATTTCATTCTGTTTTTTCTTCGGTTTTTTGGTCTGTGGTGTGTCCTCCACCTTTCCTCTGTTTCTTTCTCCAACTTTGCAAATAGGGCAAGAGCTTGGTCCTCAAAACCTTCAAATGTGACACTGAGGATTTGGCTCACGCTTTTCATGTTTTGACGCACCCAAGACAAGTAGATTTGGGTGTCACTCCATTCATCCGACACTAGGAGTGGATGATTTAGCACCACTAATTCTTTGGAAACCGGAATGGGTAAATCTTCTTCAATAAATGTTGGCTCAATGTGTGAGTTGGAATCGGGAACCAAGGGCGGAGAAGGAATGGTTTTATCCAAAAACTCAGTGATAAAAGCAAAATCACCAGGAGAGTCAGAATTGACATACTTATCTTGGGAGCACAGAGCCGCCATGTCCACGATACAGACACGCCTAGGGTTAGCTTCAACGAGCGATGAAGTGAAAGTGTCTTTACTCTCTGCAGACATACCCCCCAAAACAGGGCCATTCGACTGTTTTAAAGAGCTGCCTTGGGCCTCCACTTGAATTTTGGGCTTCTTGACTTGAGTTTTGGTTTACTTGAGCAGGGCACTTTTAACTGACCCGCTTCCTTGCTGGTGTCAATATACTCAATCCATTTGTCCTTTTCGGTCCAAGTTCATTTGGATCTTTTGAGGATGGACTTGGATGACCCAGAGGGAGAGGATACCCTGCCTAGTGCTGGGAAAGGGTCAACATTTCAAATTTGAAATTCAAAAGACCCGGGTTGGGGAGCTTCTGTTCTACTCGTATTTTAGATCTGGAATCCGATTTCAGGGCATTGGAAAAGGATTTTGCACCACCAGCCACTACCTGGCCGCGAACTCTGCAGTTACAGTGGGGGCATTAGAGAAACACCAAACAGGAGGGGGAACCTTCGAATCCGAAACATCACAGCCCATTCATAAGTTGGGTTTGATGAATGGATTCACAAGAGGGACTTCTAGGAGTTCAAAGATGGATTTCTACACACACTACCATCCCCCTGCTTGAAAACCCTCCGGTATAAAAATGCGTCTTGACAGATTTACCGTTCTCCTCTGGTAAGACTAATACTGTTCCCCTTCTGTTCCAGCAGAGAGCGATAAAGAGGCATCGGTCTCCGTTCAGCAATTTTTTCCCCCACGTTGCTCCACCTTTGAGCCAGTAGAAATCGCTGAAGGCATCGACAAGCCATTTGGCTTCACTCTTGTTGAAGGAAATTGAGATTCGGGAACCCCTACCATTCTCAGTTATTCTTAAGCCTTCCAGTTTCCTACCTTCACAGACAATGTCAAAGGATTTCTGATTCTATGAGGACGAAGCTTTTGGTTGCATCCAATGACATTTCAGTAGAAGGACATTAGCTCAGCCCAGTCGGCCGACCCCCTGAGATACAGCCTATTCAAAAGCCTGATAAGACTTTCACCGAGATGAAGAGAGCTAGAAGGAAGAAAGGATGGGACCTATCTTTTCAATTACCTTCACTATGAACTTTATTATCACTGGGACCTATCTTTTCAATTTTTTCATGTGTTCCTGGACTCGCTACTTATGTGTTCCCCTGCATATCCTTCAATTATTTCTTTACTTATTTTCCATTCTTTCTTCACATAACTCTTCCTCTTGTCATGGCTCACCATTTTGTAGAGATATTTTTAAATTTCCATTTCCCATCATTTGAGCTGTGAACTCTTCTCTAACTATCAAAAAGTTTGCTCATTTATTAGGAGCTTTTTATGAATTCTTGCAAAATAAGTTTCTTACAGTCGCATGAAAAAAAATAAATATTTCTTACGTGACTACAAAGGACACTTGGATTAAACCGATGCATGCCAATAAGAAATAAGAAGCTTTCATTTCAATCGCATCACAGCATACTTCATCTTCATAAGACTTCCAATAAAAAAAAAAGCAACAAAAACCACTAATTCTAACATTTCTATCTAGTATGTAGGTGCATGGAGTGTGGCTCCGTGGTAATTGCAAGAAATCTACCAAAACTTGAGACAAAAGATTATCGCTAATGTAGTCTCAACGAAAAAATCGCATATCAAATCATTTGACATTGCACCTAGAAAGAAACATTTAATCGTATTTAGAGAGAGAGATTTTCGACATCAAAACGGAAAAACAGATTTGTTGGTAGAGGAAAGCTAATTCAATTAGCGCAACTGGATTTTCAAGCATTTTTAGCAAGTTGCTAACTGGCAACCTCTGTCTCTGGTACAGCAACAATGGCGCCAAAACAACAGTATAGGGAAGATGGATTGATGAGAACCAACAGCATGCAGAGGTTTATGGTTAAAGATTTTTTTCCGTTTTTTCACAAAAGAACAGGGTCATTTGACAAGCTGCAAGTGGGATATGAAAATCTAACTTTTTTTCTCTCATTTTGCAGTGGAACAATGGAATAAGAATATAAGCCTAATACCAAACAATGCAGGACAACCCATTTTGAGAGACTACTATAATAGAGGTGGAGAACATGGGACAAGGAAACAAGCAAAACAAAAGGAGAATAAGAAGATAACCAGAGAAAAACATATAACAAGGAACAAAAACCTTAGCAAATATACATAATTCAATGTTACCTCCCATTTCTACGTCAGTAACATTGATAAAGCTATTGATTACAACCTTAAGGACAAGCTGATAAGCATAATGCCAAAATAATAAAAGATGAAAACAAAAGTTTGCAAATCCTACTCTAATCTAAAACCTAATAGAAATAACTATTATTCCCTAAATACCGTAAATAACCAAGAAAAAAACTAAATAAATAACTAGAGCAAATATAAGAACACTTTTGTCAGTAGAATAATCCCATTGTAACTTTTTTTCATTATGCATTACTATCATATATCCAACCTAAAATCAGCAATATGCTTGTCCATGAGTGAAATTTTCCGTGCCCAACTACAGGGCAAGAATTGGGAGACAGCAATCATTGAACATTGTGTTAAAAACTACATTTACCTTTGGATCACGAAGATAGTGAACAATTTCTTCTAGCTCTGCTTTGGCCTCATCAACGCCCTTCACATCATTAAACTTCGTATTAGATTCCATACTAGGTTGCACCTCTTCATGCAGACCAAGTCCTGAAACATGCCCAGTGGCAAATAAAAGAAAAATTTGCTTCCATCATATTATTAAATGCACATAGCATGTAACTGGAGCAGCTTTAAGCATCATAAGACAATAGTACCTTTACTAATTCCCCTATCCTCAATAAGTGCTCCTACGCCAGAAATTAACAGAAATCCCAATGCAATAGAGCGAATTGTACGCCACAACTGCTCCTTAAAATGTCCTCCTTCTGCTGCAACCATGTGGATAGGTGCACTAGCAGTTCCAAGGATACCATCTTTAGTTGGCTTTCCTATATTCTTGAAAGCTGTAATACCTCCTATACTTTCTTCCTCCTTAGGCGAGCTAGCAATACCTAAAAATTGCATACACACATCTTGCTAAGTAAATCAAACAAAGTTTTGAAAGCACAGCAAAACCTTTATTTCCAGTATATAATGAATAAAGCTAACATGTGATAGAACCAACATTTAACTGAATGGAAGAGAAGATGCAATAATGAGCAAAAAATATTAACTAAAAACAATTAGAATTTTCCCCTCACCAACCTCTTTGCAGTGTCTTGAGCAACTCACTTTCATCCAGCCTATCAACTTTGACTAATGCCTTGACATATTCTGAAAGTGCAGATGGATTTGAATGTAATGATGGTTGACTTTCAAATATCCTTATTATTGCTTCAGGATCATTTCGGTGATAAAGCTCTCTGAGATGAGCAACCTCACTAACTTCATCTACATCATACATTCTCCGAGATAAATTCCCCACATAGCTTGACTGAAATCTCCCGTGAGCACCTAAAAGTCTATTACCTGCTCAAAAGGTGAAACAAAATCATCGCACTAATCTTCAAGTCATACAGCAAAACATATTCCCAAAGAATAAAACATATCCAAAAAAAAACACATTCTACAAATTCAAGGGGTGTTTTGGATTGATTAAAGAAATGTGCTTCAAGTAACTTCAAGAAAATCAGGTGCTTATTTAAAAAATAACCAATCATGTCTATGAGATCAAAATAATAAATTAATTAGACAATAAAACAAGCACCTATAAGACATAATTATAATCCTCACCACAAACACCTCTAAGTTACAAGACAGCTAATGGATAAACAAATATTAGCTTAAGCAATCACAAACACCCTCTGCATGACAAGAAAGCTAATTAAACGTGTGTTTGTGTGTGTACATATATATATATATATATAGCATGAGTGATGCAAAATATTGCATATAATGATAATTCAAACAAACAAAAATTTTGGACACCGTAAGCATGCATACCTGCACCGCCTCCAGACTTGAGGGTGGGCAAATAAGATCTGAGAAGTAAATTTCTGAAATGTCCCAAGTCCAGTTGATGTCTTGAAGCCTATCACAGAAACCATAGAATTTATTTTAGAATAGAAAGTAGCCGACATAAAACCAAGTTTTATATGGGTTGCAAAACTGATCACCATGAGAAAGCTTTACTTTAGCAACATAGAGACAAATATGCATGTTCAACCTAACTAAGAGAAACACCACCTTGGAGTAGAAATGATTTCTTCCTCCCACAGAGTGATGCATGCAAACGCACACATGGCTTCTAACTTCAAATGTTTGTGATTTGACATAGATGCATTTTTTTTGAAGGAAAGCTCTTCCTATTTAGTTCCTTTTCTCTCCTTCACCTTTGGAACTCCTCATCTCCGAAGAGACATAAAAAGTATAAGAAAACTATCAAATCAACGACAAAACATAACAACAGATGGTAGGACCTCGATAAACCAATTAAACGAGAACCTTTCAGCGAACAGTAAATTCTTCTAGCAAAAGACAGAAGACCCATAACAACATATCTCACAATACCAATATCCAAGAAAACAAAAGATTTGCAATCTTGCTGCAAATGAATAAGAAGAAAGAGATCAAACTAGATGCCAAGTATGAGCATTTTCTCGCGTCAACCACATAATGGTAAAAATATCAACAGTCAGGTAGTCCCTGATTTCAAAGCACAATTTCTTCTGATTGGAAAATTACCAAAACAGGCACAACTCACCTCAGCTTCACATTGAAAATCGTCACTAATCACATCCAACTCAAAAAAAAAAAAAAAAGAAACCCATTATCAAATACACTCAAATTGCCGTAGCTCCCACAAGATTCTAACTCCACAAAAAAGAGAAGTAAAACATAACCAAGAAAACTAAAAAAAAAAAGGCATCTTGCTCAATAAACCCTAAAATGATACTAGAACAGCGAAAGAACGGATGTAATCCCAAAGATTTCAATCTTTTACGACGAAAATATCTCCAAAACCACGAGAAAAAGATTAAAAGAAAAAGTCTGTCTCAGGATTAGAAATAAACGAATCATATAATGAAAAGATTGGAACTAACCTCCGTGATTAAGCGCCTCCAAGCCATGGCCTCTACAGAGACCTAAAGAGGTCTAAAAATCTAACCTTTGCGATATTAAAACTTTGTTCCCTCTCCAAGCACTTTTTCCCGGCGATGCCTATTGATGTGCTCGGATATGTTTGGCTATCGAGAAAATGGAAGAAAATGAGAGAAACAGAGAGAGAAAACTTTCGTGTTGCCTGTGCAATTGTGGCTAATGCAAGAAGTCCCAACTTGAGGACCCGGCCATGATTCTCTTTTATTTACAAATCTGCTGTAATGGTCGCAGGTGTTCTTGGCTGTAAAATACCAATAATACCCTCAAAGGGGTAGTATGTTGTGGCCATTAATGTGAAATACCGATAATACCCTCGAATAGAAAGTATGTTATAGCCATTAATACTTGAGTGAAAAATCTTGCAGCATTTTGTGCACAACTTATTTTTTTTGGGAGGAACTGTCCATATTAATATATAATATGAGTAAAAAATCACATTTAATTATAAATTTACATCAAATTAAATAATCTAAAGTTATATGTTCCGTATATACTATGGATAAAATTATACAAAATTAAATAATTTTAAGTTTTATATTTTATATATATAGCAAATATAAGTTTACGTAATTAAAGAGATGTGACAAATTAACAGCTTATCCTCTTTGATAATTAATGAAAATTGAGTATTGAATTAAATCTCTGTGATTTAAAATTAGAACGTCAATATCCAACATGTTTACTATGAAAAAAGTTATTGTGCGGACTTCCTGACCAACCTTGCTTTTTCTTCTCCTCTCGAATCCTACTATCTGCAGGGGCCGCTCGTTGAGTCTTTGGGCATTCTTTAGGAGAATTTTATTGGGTCTCCTGACTTAAAATGTGCACTATTTAATTGTATATGTTGACTTTTTTCTTTCTTGTATACAAAAAAAAAAAAATTACTATTAATAAAAATAAAATATATATGTTTAATTATTTAAATATTACTATAACATTATGAAACTCTTTTATAACCTATGGATCTTCACAGTGTCTCATTTAATAATTATTGTTTAATTTAATTTATCATATTTTGTATTCTTATAAATAGAAGAAATAAAAAAAATTATGACAATTGAAATTCAAGAAAGGAACTCTTATTTTAGCTTATTCTTTTTTTTTATATATTTTTGTTAGTATTTTGTGTTTATATGAGTATCATATTTTTGCTTAAATGTAATAACATGTTATTATCATAATTTGACCATAATATATTTTTTCCTACATAATTTCATTTTGTCTACTAAGGTATAATTTATATTCTTTCACTCAATTAATTATATTATAATATCGTAATATTATTTTTACTATTTCTAATATTTATATGTCAATATTATTTTATGATTTAATTTTTATTATCTTTTGATTATGTACATACATCTATTTTAATTATTTTGTTACACTCACTATATTTTTAGAATCTTATCATAATTTATCATGTCAAAACCTCGTGAAGTTTGAAAATTTTGTTATTAATATTATGAGTAAGAACTATTTACTATAGTGATGTTAATATATATATATTAATAAAGAATAATGAATTTCGTCTAAATAGTAATATTAATGAGATAATTATAAATAATAACGAATCTCGTCTAAATGGTTCTACCTCAATCTCTCAAGTGAATACCACAAGTATTAATAACAAGTAGACAAGGACACGGTCGTGGACATATTCATAAACGCATACATGACAGAAACTAAAATAAATATTATATAGTTAGTTGTAATAATAATTCTATTAATAATCACGTTATTATCAAAAGCGGCAAAACATAATACAATAAAAATCAAGAAAATATATATTATCAATGTGATATGAAATTATAATAATTTCTTGCTTGTCGTACATAAAAAATATATAAGATAAATTTTACTCATCACAATAATATTGTCCGTCAAGATTTTATGAATATGACACATTTTAATATATTAAATTTATTCAAAAATTTATATGGTCGACGATTTACTTGGAGATAAAATTATTAAAGATTAATTAGTTATTTTTGTTAAATTATTTGTTATTTAAATTCAAATATTATATATATATATATCAAACTATCTCTAGTTTCCAATATGTCTTATGATGTATATATACTTATTTTATTTTAATAAAAAATAAATATTCCTCAATATTTAGCTCTTGCGTTTCCTTCTCTTCGCCTGTTTTTTTCTCTGAGACCGCCGTAAGCCTTTGCCTTTCTCATTATCTGTCGAATGAAAAGAACGGGAGGAAGAATTAAAAGTTCTTTCCCACGACGTCGTTTTAGGGGAGGCCACAAAAGGAAAAGGTCTAGCTCGACTTAAAACTGGGCTGGTGGGCTATGGTTGAAATTTGAAAAGGAATAGCTTTTGGGCTTAGATTTTAAAAGAACTGGGCTTGGGTTGGACACCACATTAATTACTTCTTAATTTTTGTTCTTTTAACTATTAAAAAAAAAATTTAGGTTATGATAATAATTAACACAAATAAGAATATTAAATTTTAATTATAATAAAAATATTATATAAGTAAAATAAAGAAGAGAAAGAAAATACAAACCCAACGTTATAGAGATTTGATCACCAATCACGTGTCTGTGTTGTCTCATCGATCAAATGACTTGAGCTTTCTACAATCTTAAAATACTCGTATAAAAATTAATTAAATATAATATTCAAATCACCAGTTAAGGTTATTTTTTCTCCTAAAATTATATCTAAAAAATTTATTCCATATTTTTTTATTAAATTCATAATTTTTAAAAAATAAAAATAAAAAATATTTCACATAATAAATAATATTCTTAATGAAGTTGATAGAAACGAGTTAACTTATAACTAATTCCTAATAGAATAGGTAGAAATGTTTAATCCGCTCCATTGATCATCTCCAAATAGATACTGTATGATATTATTATAATATTAATACAAAAATCTCGATCAACTTAGTTTTTCTAAGTATATGAACTTAACTCTTATAAAGTTCAGCTTAAAAACACTTGAAAGTTTTAATTTCTTTATTTTTATATATTGTATTTTCTTTATGAAATAAAATACAAATGCAACTTTATAGAGATTTGATCACCAATCACGTGTCTGTGTTATCTCATCGACCAAATGACTTGAGGTTTCTACTATTTTAAAAAAACCGTATAAAAACCAATTAAATATGGTATTCAAATCACCAGTTAATATTATTTTCTCTCTTAAAATAATATCTAAAAAATTTATCCCCATATTTTTTTAGTAAATTCATAATTTTTTAAAAACGAAGTTAAAAAATATCTCACATAGTAAATAATATCTTAATGAAGTTGACGAGTTATCTTATAACTAATCCTAATATATGGGGAGGAGGGATGTTTAATCCAATCCATTGACCATTTCCAAATAGATACTCTATG